CAGAACAGGTTTCACATCAAAGTCAAACTGAACTTATTTTCAAGTTAGACTTTGTGAAATACTACATGAAAAGCTGTTCCCAAATGTACATACTCTGCCTCCTGCATCCCTCCCCTCCCCTACTGCGCAGTCACTGCAGTCCTGTCACTCATCAGCACAGGGGAGACTCTTCACCTCCAGGACTACCCACACAAGGAACATCACAAATCAGACCGTATTTCTATCAAATGAAGCTCCCTCGAACATCTGACTTATTTCTTCTTATTATTTAGGAACCTGGATCTTAAAAGCCATTCAATAACATGCCAAGGTTATGCTTCCCCAATTCACTGCAGTTACTCCTCACCTTCTCTCCTTGCTGCCCCACCCAAGCTAGCCTGCCTGCTCAGCTGAACTCAATGGGAACCAATTTGATCAAGGACAAGCATTTTTGAAAATTCCTTTCCAAGTGCCTACACACTGAGGCATTTCTTCCACTGTCCACTGGAGAACAGCCCCAGCAGGCAGAGTTGCTGCACAAAAGCAATCAAGACCTTCAGATGTATTTCAACATCCTGCTTGTTTCTTCTTGATTGTCGAGCATCTTGATTCCTGCTTATTAAAAACAAGTAATTCCAGGTAGTTTCCCTCAGTCACCTAAACTACTTTCAAATTATGTCCCAATGCTTGTGCAGTTACATTTGCTGAGTACTCCTTGTCTACACTTTCCCAACAGCCACTTTTATATCAAGAATTTCTGGGTCCTATTAATCTTCTCTGTAATTTTATGGTTAGAGATTAACAACAACATGGCATTTTAGATTTCTCACTTGTTATTTCCATCTATTTCTCATATAAAATTTTAATATATTTTTAGAGTATGTTTTATTCTCTGTTAATTCTTTGGGCTGGTCCAACTCTGTCTCCTTATAAATGAAGAAGGAGCTGAATGGGTGGAAGAGTGGTTCCCTGCCCACCCAGAACAATGGCTCTTCATTAGGTCCACCTGAAAATGTTCTTGTCCCTCCTTGCCTTTGATTTCTTCTATCAAAGAGGAAAGCTTAACTTCTAGGCAAACACGCAGCAGGATTTCTGTGATTGGTGCACAGAAACACTGCCTAGCCAGCACCCTACTTAAGTGTTCCACAGCTGTCCTGAGCATAATCAAATAGAATTTGGGCACTCTTCTACTTCTTACCTGAGTCGCACACAACCATTTTGCACACATTCAAGTCCATCTTTCTATACTTTTTAACTCTGCTTCAATAGCAGCACTTTCAGTAGCAGTTTGTTTATGAGCTTGCATTCTTGCATCGAAGAGCACAGTGTCTTCCCAAGGCAGCAACAAAAGCCAGTTGTGGAAGCTTCAGAGAAAAGCTCTCTCTGGCTGATGGAAAAGAACATTTGTAGATCTGTGGAGATAAACAAAGCCAAGGGAAATCTAGGCTCAAAGGAGAGGCCCAGCTTGAAAGGAGGTGTTAGAATAAATGCCACTTAGTTATGGGAGAGTTGAAAAGTTGAAAATACAGGGGTAGAAATTTGGAAGGAATTATATGATTGTGGTAATTTCCAGATTTTCAATTCTTATTTTTTGTAAGACAAAGGGTATTCATTTACTGTCATCTTCAAACTACAGAGAGAACCCAGATCATGGCTCTTCTAATAAGCACTGTGCAAGGAGATTTCTGAGACTGAAGCTCTGAGTTGTGGTTCAGTCAGCGACCTCAGAGCTGACAGCTACTATTCCCCTTGCCTGTCCCAGCTCTGCCAGCGTCTGCAGATGCTCTGCTGAGCTGATTCCACCCACTCAGTAAGCAGAATGCTATTCCCTTTTCTTTGTTGAGGTGAGTTTTGTGCTGATTCAATAAGTTAAATCAGTCCAATGCAAGATTAGACAATCACCAGGTCTAATGTCAGAAGAGCGAGGAAAAAAGGAACAAGATTTTTCTCATACACTTGAAGCAAGCCATTAATGTGACTCAAATTATAACAGGTAACTCTACCCTGACAGGCAGATTCTCGGGGGGTTAAGCCAAGACAAGAGTGTACTACTGGCAAAAGTCATCATTCCATCCTTTCCCCTTTCCTTAGTCATGCCTTCCTGATGCCTGCTCTCTGCTGGCTACAACACTGATGCAGCCATATGTTAAGCCAGATCGACTTGCCAACAGAGCTGAAAGCTAATCCAGTTTACAAAAAAAAGAAAAAAAGTTTCCAGCAGGATCAATTTTGGCAGCCAGCCGATCCTACAGCCGAACAAACACCAGTGCCAGGATAAGCCAGTGAGAGGGCCTGTTTCAGTGGCAGCCTGCACACACGTCAGCATAAACCAGAAGTGCCCCCACAAGCCATAATTTCACAAATGCTTCCAGCCAGCTATTGCCAGCACTGCTGCCAAAAGTAACACAGCCTTGCCCTCGGCCACACCAGCTGCTCATTCCAGGCTCCAGGCACCCGCTGTGCTTTGCTGGAGAAGAACTGATTGATAAATATAGTTGGAGTTAAAAGCAGCATTTTTTTTTCCTCCCAAATTTGTATTCCACATCAGTAAAGCACCTTTGAACCAAAGACCTGTTGGATTGTAATTGTCTCCTGGAGTGAAGCTCCAGGGAAAAGAGGTGAGTTGAGGGCATTTTACAGTCTTATCCTTGGCTGCAAACCTGCCTTCCCACTAAGGCTAAGGCTTCACATCCCGTTAGAGAGGTGTCAGAGCACACACAGAATATACTCCAGCTTCAGGACTCCAGCTTGAAGGACTCTGCTTTATTCAGCTGTGCTGGGGTGAGCATACTCTCAATCTGAGGTGGATAATGTAGTTGCTATGGGGACCTAAATATGGACATAAATCTGCAAGAGCTTAGAGCAGCTTGATAAAAAGATACCGTAAGATAACACAAGCAAATTATTCAAAACAGCTCCATGTATCAAACACCTTACTGATGTATGAATGTTTCACAACTATATTGTATCTGACTACATTTCTTTTCAACAGATACATCTGGACTATATTAAACATTCCAAACAAGGGATCAGAGAAAGCAGTTTCTTGTTATTCTTCCATAAAAGCAACTTTTAATATGGATTGTAGAAATACCAGGCATTAAAAATCCATGAAGGATCATCAGCAACTGAAATGATCAACTGCTGTTTTGAGGTCTGAATTTCAGAGACTGCCTTGATATCTGCAGGGTCTCTGGTGGCTATTTTAGCAGTACTGAAAAGTTCTGTAGTTTTGCATACAGAACTATGACCGACAGGGTTAACTAATATTCAGCACTTTGCCAGATTTTTTCTGCAGAGGGACGTGGGGGGGGAATCGATGATGAATTCAGTCAGCTCCTTAGCGAAATCCTATTTATTTACAAAGAATGTACAGCCACGTCCCCTTTCCTTGCACGCAGAGGAAGCAAATGGGAGGGAGAACTGTGCAGCAGTCCAAGTTTGCTGCTCCAGCCAGGATGCTTGCCCAGAAGAAGCTGTCCCTTGGCTTTTTCTCAGGGCCATACACCACTGCTTCTCCCACTGTCTGCTGGCTCTTGTGTGGTGTTTCCGGTCCCGGACATGCACACAGGCAAACACAGCTGCAACCAATCTGTGCTCTTGCTGCTGCACTCACAAGCAGTCCCTAGAAAAGTGTCCCTGACTTTCCCCAAATTAGTGCTTGCTCATACAAATTAACTCAGCATTTGGCCATGCACCCCTGTGCCTTCACCCCTGCCTGCATGGGCAGCAGTTTCTCATTTTTAGCTATCTTATGCCATAAAAGAACTTAATTGCTCCTTCCTGAACAAAGCACGGACAGCATCCCTGTCAGTTTTAATGAGGTTTGGGATTGCCTATAGATCAAAGCTTTGCTACAGTGGGTTTTGTTTGTATTGCACAATGAGGAAAGGAGAAGTGACCTCCAAAGCAAAGAGAACAACAAGGAAGAAAATTAATTTCCATATGTAATTTCTTCTATGATTTGGCAAGTGTCAGATTAACTGTGTAAAACAGAGGACTTCCTACATAATGTTAATCTTCACAAGAACTACATTATGGTGAAGATTTCAAAAGTACAAGCACAACCTGTTTTTCATCTGAGACCTTGTCTCTATCATCTTCCAAACCACAGGCCTGACCCTGGGAGTGGAAGACCTGCTTTCAATAAACAAACCTTGATTTTCCAGTTCTGCACCATCATTTACTTCTGTGCAAGTTGCATGGAGACATTACAAAACCCATTCCAACATACATAATAAATACTTTTTTACATTGGTTTTCACAGGTGTAAATGCCTCCACGAAGCATGCAGGAGCAGAGAAGCAAGTCCAATTGGTTTTTACTTGCAGAACAAAGAGGAATTATTTCTCTGTGAATGGATTAGTCATGTATTACACTGTTGTAATGTGTGCTGCCACAATGGGAGAGAGCTGCTCTCTCCTGCAAATTTGGCATATCAGAGAACCTTTCTGAAACATACTTGTCTGAAGCCAGTAGATGTACTTTGAAGGGCTAATGAGAAATAGTTGTATTCTGTGAATGAAGCTCTAAGGCAGAGAATGAAACAAGTCAATGACCATCATTTTCCTTCAGCAGGTCCTCCAAATAAGTCTGCATTTGTGAAATGGATGGGAGTGGTTGTGTTCTACTAGCATGGTTCCCAGACAAAATGTCTCTGGTGCTACTGTTCAAGGAAATAAAGTTAAAACGCTGCAATCAGCAAACATGTCTAGGCATGCCGAGCATAATTTTGCATCCAGTGTGGGAGGGTCCAAAATACTTGGCCTCCCCACGTGAAATAAATGAACATTCAAGTAAGGCAGAAGCTGAATTAACCCTTGATTACCAAGCACAATTATACTTCTAAATATTGAAGGCAAGATCTTAATTTCTTTGGGGCAGTTCTTTGTGCACTGTTAAGTTTTTGGTCTTCACACACTCTATAAACAGGCTGACGAGCACATTTAGGAATACAGTGCTATCCTGTTGCAATTGTTCACCTCATCAAGAAAGGCATACAAGTAAACCACATTTCTTACCAGCTGACTTTTGCCTTACTTCCACCACACCAGCGTATATTCTGCTTGACTGTGTTCGACGCCAGACCTTCACTCAGGGCGCACAGACACCTCTGCCGCCATTCCTGCTCCTCGCCACACAAACCCACGTGCCACCAGCCGCTGCAGGGTGCTCAGCAGCTGGGCTCTGCATCTGCAGGGAGACAGGATGGGCGCAAGGATGAGCCGTTCCCGAGGCTTCCCGCCCGCCATGCACACGGGCGCTGCAAACAGCGTGCTCCAAAGCGGCGTGGGCAGCTTGGCCAAGCTGCGGCGAGTGCTTTGCTGCACGAGGGCTGCGGTCTGCTGGCCTGTAAAACCAGCCTCTCCAGTTCAGAGAGTAGTGCAGCAGGAAACTGGCAGCGAGGCACAGCCAGACAGTGCTCCCCAAAGTTCATCCCCTGAGTCCAACAGATTTGGCAATGCTGACTTCATGCGGTGAGATGTGTTTGTACTCCCAGTGCTCATTCTGGAGAAGAAAAGACATAGTGGGGCAGAGAAAAACATGGGACAGGGAGTCATTTAGGGCTTAAATCTCTAAGTTTTTAAATTTTATTTTATTTTTAAAACTATATTAATATTTATCTTTTAGCATTTACTCTAACAAACCCACAATAAAATCCCACAGTGACTTAAATGAGACTAAATTTGTGAACAACAAGCTATGCCAATAAGAATCCTGATGCCCTCCATATGAAATAAATAAACATCAGTTTCCACCTAATATTTACTTCTTGGAAGTTCAAGACTAATCCCATTTGGCATATTTTAAGGAAGTGAGCTCTTGACCCCAAATGTTTATGGGCTGTAACAGTAAATTCAATAAAAAAAAAAGGAAGCGCATTTTAAAGCTTCTCTTAAAATCAGATTGGTTTTAGGCACAGTTTTGAGAAAGACAGCACTTTACCTCATGTTTCAAATAAAAGGGGGTAAGTGTGACTGATACAGCCCATCCAGACCCGTAAGAGATTTGTGGCTATGAAAGTTTATTTTAACAAGGATTTCTGAATATCTTTATTAACCCCCTGCCCTCACAAGACAGGTAACATAGTATCACATGGGTTACATTACTTACATCATACTTCATACTGTAATAAAATGTTAAGGGAGTCTTCTAGGTGAAATGCCATGAAATAATACACCAACTGAAATAATGAGAAACAACAATTTCATCCCCAACTGATTTGGAGATAAACAGGCCTTCAGATGCAAGTAATTAAATTACCTGCTGTAAGCAAAACATTCTATATCAGCAGCCCATGGCACATTTATTTGATATTTTTCTGTAGATTAACAAAATGTGAAGTGGGAACAGGTAGGCTTCTCTAGTCATGTTATCAATATTTACTGTGTTTGTTGGAGTCCAGTTTGTGGGTCCTGCTCTGGATGCTGTGTGTGCTGTAGGAATGCAGAAATAGACTTAGAAATGCTCGCATAACCCAGAGACCACAAGTCAAGTTACAGTTTCTTTATTAGGCGGTATTCTACCTCTGTGAAAGGGACACAAAGCTGGCCCCAAACTGTGCTTTACAAAGCAAAATGGTAAGTGCAATGACAGCCCACTGTAGCAGCCTTTGCAGGTGAATTTAAGTGAGTAAACTAGGAGAGGTTTGAGCACACGCAGAAGTACTCCGGAGCAAAGCGTGCTTCTTCAAACACCTGGGGCTAATCTCAGAGACACGAGTCAGAGGTCTGGAAAAGAAAGAGTGCACCTGCAGGCCCGCTTGTGGGAGCCTTTCATTTCAGTGAGCCACGTCGGAGTTTTCCAATAATTAAAAACAAGAAAGGTGGAGGGGGGTGGGGGGCGGAAATAAAATAAATAAACGGGGTTCTTGCTATTTGGCGCCAGGAATAACTGAGCAGTAAATTTCCATGAAGGAGTCCCTTCTCACGTGTGAGGTCCGTTGATGCCACACCTACCACCTGCCCATCATAATCAGTGTCCTCTTTTTTAATATATACATATATACATATATAATATATACATATATACATGAATTATCCTTTATATGCCTGTACATACGTACAATACGTCCTTTAGGTGGCTGCGCCGGGCGCCTCACGCCACGGCGACAACCGCGGAAAAAGAGCAGTGGGGGCTGCACTCGTTGTCCGCTAGATGTCAATTTCCAGAGGAAGGCCGGGCGCTGACGTTGGTCTATTTTTCATTTCGCTCCGGCCCGCGCCCGCCGCCCGCCGTGCCGCCATGGCGGGGCGGGCCCGCGCGGCGGCCGTTGCGCCTGCGCGGTGCGGGGGGAGCGGCCGGCCATGGCCGCCTCCGTGTTCTGCTGCTTCTCCTGGTGCCGGGATGGCGGCGCCGGGCACATCCCGCTCAAGGAGATGCCGGCCGTGCACCTGGACACGCAGCGCATGGGTGAGCGGGGCAGGGGCGCTGCCGCCGGCGGGCGGCTCCCCGGCGGGCAGGGCCGCAGCCCCGGAGCGCGGTAACCGCTGGGAAAGTCAGTTCGGGGCTACTTCAGCAGGAATTGGCAGCTTTTCGGGAAAAAAAGAAATAAGCGCGCTTGGTTTAAAAGTGGTTTAAAGCAGCGAGTGTTCAGCTGAAGCCGATGGGCGCAGTGGGTGTGAGGTGCCGGGGCGGAGGTGGGGTGGGCGCGGGCGGCTCGGGGCCGCGGGGCTGCGCTCAGAGCCGCAGGATCCGGGAGGCTGGAAAAGGCTCCTGAGGGCAGCGAGTCCCACCCGTGCCACCACGTCAGCCAGGCCAGGGCACTTAATACCCCGTCCAGCCTTTCCTTAAACACCTCCGGGGACGGCGGCTCCCCCTCCAGTTACGGCAGTGGAGGTGAAGAAGGAGCCGGGCCGCGCAGAGTCCTGTCCGTGCTGCTCCTTTGAGGATCCCTTAGCATGAGCTGTCCGCACAGCCGTGCGGGCTGTGGGAGGAGAGGAGGGACCTGGGCCAGCAGCAGCGGAGCAGGGGAGAGCTGGGGAGGAATAGGTATGGTCCAGTGCTTGAGCACAATTGTTAGCCACAGCCTCCCATGTGCTTGGCCATGACAACAGTGCCTAAAGATGAAGTCCAATGGAGAAGGAAAACTGAGCAGAGGATTTCTTTTCTCTCTGTATTGGCAGGCGCATTTCTAATAGTAGGGTTATTTCAGAGACTAACTAAACACCTTGTAATTCCATCAAATCATTTTTACCCGGTATGCTTTTCCAGAATGCTTTTTCTCCAGTGTTAGAGAACAGAGTACAGGGCTTTGGTCTCACAGTGAACCCTTTCTTATTAAATTGTATGTTATGCTTCTGATGTGGCTAAGTAAAAGCTGTAATCAGCATGGTGCTGTAAAGCCTGAGAGGTGAAAATTAGATCAGGTTATAGATTTTAAATAAATAAGCCCTACTGGAAAGATGAACTAGCTTGTAAACAACCTTCTTCTCTTGCTTCAAAGCATGGCCTGTCGTCATATTTCTCACAGACAAATGAAACTTTTACTTGGGGCGGAAGTAGCAAAAACTGGTCTCAATGTTTAGGGCTTTTGAGGGCTCCTCTCAGATTTCTAAAAATGTTTTGAAGTTCTCTGGGGTTTTTTTTTCTTGCAGGAACAGATGTTGTCATTGTTAAAAACGGCAGAAGAATATGTGGCACGGGAGGCTGCTTAGCCAATGCACCTTTGCATCAGAACAAGAGTTACTTCGAGTTTAAAATCCAGTCCACAGGTTAGTCAGCAAAAAATATACAACTTTAAACTTGGGAGGTATGTTACATTACCTGCTGGTGGCAGTATCTCAAGTGCTCAGCACATGCATCTTTCTAATAGCATCCTTGAACTTGTGAACATTAGAGAGATTTATAAATTACTGTGTGAAAGGAAATTTCTTTTTTTTTTTTTAATTCTGACTCTAAAATATTAAAAATAATACTAAGTGTATTACTAAAGGAGTGCAAATGCTAACCCCCTCATTGTTTTGTATGCTGTTATAGGCATGTTTTTCAGGCATATTTTAGAAATTATTTTTGCTCAATAAATGCTTATGTCCACATAAAACACTGTAGCTATGGAGTATTTTTTAAGGAGTGCGGTTTATCCAGTGGTATTTGTATCTGTCTACCCTCATTTGCTCTTGGCAGGCACTGTTTGCCCAAGCAGGGGTAACACTCCTTGTGCTACCCTTTGCTCTTCAGATGTAGTGTGTAGCACTTACTCTGACACTGCCTTATTCTGAGGAGCCTTTCAGCACCTTGTTCCTTTATTTGCTCTTACAAATATGGTCAGCTTCACTACTACAGAGAGCACTCCTGTATTCTGGCATGAAAAATCAGCCTGTATTTTTCAAAGCTGCTAGCAGACACTCTGAAAATGAAGCTGTGCTTTCCCTAAGTATGTGTGTGGGGAGGGAAGAAGAAGGGAAGTGTTAGTCCAGAGTCAGGCCTTATGGACCAGCTCATGCTTGATGCTGAAACTTTCTGGGTAAGATTCGTTTGCCTTCAGGTGAATTAGAGTACAGGCAGCATGAACACAGATCTGCCCACAACACCTTGCAGTCCAGCTAGCTGGTTAATTTGAACCTACATGTAAGCCCATATCCATCTTAACTTGGCAATTTTACTATCCTTTATTTCGGGAAGAATGCATTGCAGCTGTTGTTCATACATGGTCATTATTCACGCAGATAGTGTACCCATGTTCTTACACTTGAGAAACATGGGAAATAAACACTCCTGGTCCCTGTGTGCCTTTTTTCCTGTATTCCTGTGCCTCGAGGTGGGAAAATTGTGGAAGACTTAAAGTAAATCTTAGATTTCCAGAAGTATCCCTGCACAATCAATTAGAGGTTATCTATGAGGTCACCCTGACTATTGTAATGTTTGTTGAAGTCGAATCACACTCTTACCTTTTAATTCTTGGTGTTAGAATAAATTATTCTACAGTTTCATCTTTTGAAAATAAGTTTCTTACATATTTGCCTTATTTTAGTCTTCTCTGGACTAAAAAGTCCCAGTTTGTTGGGGTTTCTTTCATTATCGCCTTGTAGACAAAATTTTTACACTTTTAATTGGTTTTGTTGTTTCTTCTACAGTATCTTTAGTCAGCCTAATTTATCTTGAGGTAAAGTGCTTAAAATGGATGCTCTGCTTCAGCTGCAGCAGCAGTAGATTACCTCATCAGTTTTATGCATGCCACACATCCAGAAGTTTTCCCCATCAGTAGAGCACTCACACTCAGCAAGTGGTCTGTGAACTGGTACCAAGCCACCACTGTATTTGTGCCACTTACTGTTCCTACTTACCTGCTCTTCTTTATCATTTAGTAATAACAGATACACTTTCTTTATTTCTACCCAGTTAGTCAGGATCACGTTAAACTTGAGAGGCCTCTCAAGAGCTTGCAGTCCTGTCAGGCTGGGATTTGCAGCACATTTAATCAACACATCGTCATGTTATTCAAGTAACTGATAGTAATACAGAACAGTATCTGACCTTGTGCATTCAATGCAAAACCTCAAACCCCACTTGAGTCATCGTTTTTTATTTGACAGGGTGCTACTGATGAGTAATCGTGGAATAGTTTTCTAACCACTTGTGCCTTCATATTGCTGTAACTGTCTAGACCATGTTTTCATCATTTGACTATTTCAGTGTTGTATGAGTTTCAAAAATATTGCCAGATTAAGGTCTGTAATATTAACACTCCTTTTTTTCCATAAGACTTATCTAAATAGTTGAAAAAGGAAAATTTGTTGTTTACAGATCCATCCTAGTTGGATTTATTTTTTGTATCCACCTACAGCCTCAGAGTTTGTTTTCAATATTTTTCTGGGGATAAAAGTTGAGCGGTTATAATTCTCTTTCTCAGATATCCTTCTTTTTCAAGATAGATGCTGTTTGTCTTCAGTCTCCTGTGTCTCCTTGTGCTGAGTCTGGTCAGGATTAAGTTAATTATCTTCATAGCAGCTGCTGTGTTTGTGTGTTTTAGATTTGTGACCAAAGCAATACTGATAACAAAACAATGCTGATAACACATCAATATTTTAGTGATTGCTGAGCAGGACTTGCACAGCATCAAAATCTCCTCTTTTTCTTAGTCTACCCCTCCAGTGAATACGATTAGGGTTGCATAAGGACTTGCAAGGGGACATAACCAGGTGGATGACCCAAAATAGCCAAAGAGATACTCCAAACCACATATCACCTGTCTTGTTCAGGAATAAATGGGAAAGGAGGGGATTTAGGGAGATTAGCCATTTTTTACTTGGGAATTGCCTGGGCATCAGTCTACCCATGGAAGGTGGTGAGTGATTGTCATTGTATCACTTTGTCTCGTCTCTTTCACTTCTGCTTTACTAACTAAACAATTTTTATCTTTAGCCACAAGACTTCGTGGTTTTATTCTTCCTTTCCTCTTCCTCCATTCCATGAGGGCATGGGTGGGCTGGGGAAAGAGAATAACTGGCTGGATGGTGCTTAGCTAGCTAACCTACAATAGTTCTGGTATTTCCAGGAGATATGTACTGGTAGTACCATCATGGCATTAGTTAAGAAACAAATTCTTTATGCTGTCGTGCTTCAGTCAGTCTTCAAAATAACATGTTTTTTTTCTTACTGTGTTAATATCACATTTTAGGGATTTGGGGTATAGGAGTTGCAACCCAGAAAGCAAACTTGAATCAAATTCCACTTGGTCGAGATGTCCACAGCCTGGTAGTGAGAAATGATGGGGCTCTCTACTATAACAATGAGGAGAAAAATAGGCTACCGGCAAACAACCTTCCTCAGGAGGGTGATGTGGTGGTGAGTTTCTTAAGGCTTTCTTACTTCCTCACCTGTTCTCAAATGCCTCTTACTTACAGCTCTGTTTAAAGACAAATTTAAGTCAAATTGTTAAGTTTGCTTCTCCCATTTTGGAAAGTGGTGGGATATAGATTCATGTTGTCTTTGAATGAATCAGCAGCCTGGATATGTGTGGACTTCATTCTTGGTATTGATAAGTTCCTAATGAGAGATGGACTTGACCAGAGTTTGAGAAATAGTTTCTGGTGCTCTATTGCAGTATCTATCTGACCGATAATTCCCATCACAAGGATCTTACATTGTTTGAGATGGGACCTGCCTGAACAAATAATATGCTGGAATGCATTATGTGTCTATGCACCATGCCCAGTTGAACTCAAGAACCCTTAGCTAACTGGTTAATGATTAGAAGGACAGAGGGGAGCAGAGATGGGTCCTGGGTGATAAATGAATTGTATTTTTA